CTCACACCCCCAGGAGACGCTTCAAAGAGACTTCTGTTTTCTTTCAAGGGGACAAGGGCTGGCTGGCACTGGTATCTCTCCACCTCATTTCTCTTGGTTCCCCCTTTTCCAGCTGAATCCCTCACCATTCTCAGGCCTACTGGCTTTTCTTGTTGAAGACCCAGTGTCCCATTCCTGCGGATTCCTGCAGACAACTGCAAGCCCCTCCCCAACATCACCTTGCCAGGGCAGGATGGGGGGGGTGCAGGAGGTTCGCTCAGGCACCGAATCCCCTTCATGTATTCTGAGGCAGGGTCATCCCCCCTGGCCAGTCCTGCAGGGTGAGTCCAGAGTGTCACGGAGACACCAGCCTGGCTTGGAATTGAAGTCTCTTCCACGCCCGAGCTGTGTCAGCTCAGGGAAGCCTGCTGTGCTTTTCTACCTCGATGCCTTGTTGGTGAAATGGTGGCCATTGCCACCATTGCCTGGCTGACGCTGCAAACACAAACCAGTGGTGCCACTGACTTTTTGGTGGGTGCCAGCCAGTGCCAGAGCATCCCTCAGAGGTGCCATGGTGCCCAGCCTGTTGTAAGCACCACAAAACAGTGGTCACTGCTGGTCCTGTCTTGACCCACAGCCTGTACCTTGCAGTTCCAACCCCAGTCCTGGTACAGGGATGCTCAGAGGCGAGGGCTTTTGTTGTCTCCCGGCTAAATGAGGATTCGTCCTCCTTTCTTGCTTCCCTTTATTCACCAGAAGCTCACCAAAGTGCTGGAGAAGGGACAGAAACTTGGTGTCACCTGTCTAACATGAATCCTGGTTTATCCCTGTGAGCGGGCGGTGAGAGCTATTTTACCTGAGTGCTCTTAGCAGGTCATCCACACAGCCACGGAAGAGCCAAAAGCCTGCAGGCCATCACAGAGGAGATCTCCAGGGCGAGCCACACCAGCACGTAGCCAGAACAGCAGTCGTGGGGCCTCTTTGGAGATGTTCACTGTGCACCCAGCAAGGACAGGCAAGGAGTCCTCCTGCTCTCACTCCCTGGACTCCAGGGCAGCAAGAGCTTCAGCTCGGCCTCCTCGGTCCTGCTTCCTGCATTCCCACACATGCAAAGCCAGAAATGTCAAGGACACCAGGCCCAGCTGCCCAGAGAAGAGAGGACATCTCTTCCCCCAGGGAGAGCCTGCTGGAACCCAAATCTGCTCAGGCTGGACAGCTGGCCACCAGGGAGACCTGTGATGACCTGCCTGAGCTGTGACAGCCTGCTGGGCCCCCACCATGACCGTGGAAAGCATCTGTTTCCTGTAGTGATGGCCATGGTGGAACCGGGGTGGCAGCAGCACCAGGCCACACTACTGTGATATTGTCTTCTCCTGTCATTGTCGCAAGATGCTCCTGCTGAAAAGAGCACAATGCCAGCCAGGGAGGAAGAGACTGCCTGAAAGCACTGGCTCAGGAGATGTCACCTCAGTGATCTTGGCCCCACGAAGGGCATGTAACAGGATGCAAACCCAGATGGGATTTGCTGTAGCACTGTACCAGTGAGCGTGTTTATTTGTTTGTTTATTCAGTTGATAGCTGCATGTCTTGTGATTAGAACTCAGCAAGAATCTACCCCAGGGGTAGGTTCGTGGCCTGTCCCTTGCTGTGTCATGACCACGCCCGGCAGAGCGCAGCATGGTGCTGTGATCATAAAACTTCGGCTTCTCATCTGTCAATGATGCCCGTTTGCATCAGACGTTTTCATACCCAGTCTCCCCTTTTACTTAGTCCCTGCTGAAACCCTGGAGGAAGGGACGGTAACAATAAATCGGTGACATTTCTCACACCTTTTTGGGGTGACAGGCACTGTGATCTCGCCTTGACACCTCCTCAAGTCCCTCCCAGAATCTTTGGTAAAGCTGCACTGTTGTTCCATTTTGCAAAGGGCTAAGGGGAGACTTGGGGTTCCAGCATCCTGTGCCATCCCGCTGCATCTCACGGTCTCCTGCTTGAGCATGTGAGACCCTGCAGGCTGAGGCCCTGGTCAAGTAGGTTCAGGTCTGGAACTGGCTTCCCACCCTCACACCCGAGCCTCTGCCAGCCGGTACAGGTCGGTGGGATGCTCACATCTGGTACCCATGGAACCAGAACCATCAGGACAGCTATATCATGTGTCAGTGGGTCCCTGTTACACCCTGTGAGACCCTGATAGTGCATCCTCAGGGGCTAATGTTCACCACTGACCAGGAGAGTCACAGTGTAGTATGATCTAAGGGCTTCGACCAACGCATGACGACTGACTGAAGATCCTCTGCACTCCATCTGTCCATCCCTGCCTCCCTCCTGGCCCCAGCCACCATCCACCTTTTCCCTGTGTGCCTATAGTAATCAAAATTCAGGGCTGGTCAAAAATATGGTGAATGTCTACATTTTTTAAAAATCTTTATTACAGTCACAAGACACATTGCCCTTAATCCCATTAAAATACTCCCGCTCACTTTGAGCACAATCATCTCATTGTTTTTGCCATTTTTGGAGGCAGTTCTGGGAGGCTTTGTTCATATTTTTCTGAGTTGTGATCAAAAATACAGTGAAGGCCAAGTGCCATCAGCAATGTGTCCTCAGCTACCTCACTCGCCATGTCTAGCATTGTGCTCTTCCCAAGGTCAACATGGGACTCCAAATAAATGTGGTTTTTTGTTTTGTTTTGTTTTTTAGCGGTGCCAGGGATTGAACTCACAACCACGCACTTCCAAGGCAGGCACTTATGCTGCTGAGCTAAATCCCCAGCCCCCAAATAAATGTTTTTAATTGATCCAGGACATGGAGACAGCCATGACAGCACAGCTAAAGATGCTCGTGAAAGAGGACTTCCAAAACAATAATTGTGTTAAAATGGAGGATTATCTTGAGGAGGATTATTAGCAATGTATCTTTTATTGTAATGCATTTTTTAAAAATTTAAGCACACACTTTACTGTTGCACAATACCTCATATGTATGTAGCTTGCTTTCACCACCTGGCAGTGTGTAGGTAATGCCTTTTTGTGGCTTCAAAGCTCATTTCCTCCTATCATAGAATAATATTCTATTGTCTAGATGTCCGGCAGTTTATCTGCATATTAAAGGACATCTTAGTTGTTGCTAAGTTTTGACAGTTATGAATAAAGCCACTATAAACATTTGTGGGCAGGCCTTTGTATGGCAGATAAGATTTCAGCTTATTTGAATAAATACCTAGGTATGTAATTGCCAGCTTTCATGGTGAGTCTACCTTCAGTTTTGCAAATAGCATTTTAAACTTAATTTTACTCTGGATGGTTTGCATTTCAATGTGATTACTTTTCCCTGGGGATTTGCAACCTTTCAATCCAAACAAGAGTCTAACACACCAATGTCCCCTCCTCTGAGCCTCTCTGTCCTTCTCCACTCCGGGGTCCCAGGCAGACCCACCAAGCTGGGATTCTGTGCAAACAAACCGTGATGGCACGAGATTTGAAACCAGCTAAAATCTGCTGAGTGTGCACGAAGACCTCATTTATTTCAAGCTCACGAGTTTAGAATGTCAATAAAATTTGAAAGTCCAATTCTGGGATAATTCTAGACTGTAATTAAACTTGTACATGCATTATTAGATTCCTGAATTTTAATATATTTCATTTCTTTCTCCTCCCCAAATGCCGTTTTTCTTATTGAATTGCTTTTTCCTCTTCTCAGCATACCTATTTCTACTCTGAAAAATCATACCCATATTTTATTAATCTAATAGAGCAGCGAAAAGGCCATAATTGTCTTTGTAATGCCTAAACAAATACGTGCTGAGCGAATGTTTTAGAAAAATGCATCTGATTTTTACCCTTCCCAATTGGCAATACCTTTCCGTTGCTCTTAACCTTTGCAGGTGTGAGCCACCAGCATCACAGGAATGCAGTTAACATTCTAAAACATTCTAATTTCACCAGCATTTAAAAATACTATTTTTTTCCCAGCCACAGAGCCTTGGAGGGGACAATAAAAGGCATGAAATGAGTCTCACAAAGTCCCTGGGACTCTGAGTCTTTCTCGGTGACACCCAGCAAAGTCTTTGCGCCACTGAGGTCCTCTACACACTGTCCCCTGGGGCCAGGCTGCTCCCCCACCTCTGAGATCTTTGCATTGGCATCCAATGGTACTGTCCCCTCAGCCCTCCGCGGATGTCCCCATCAATTCCCCTCAGAGTCCCTTGTGTCTTGGGCCCCTGGTGCTGTACTGTGCTGTGTGCCGTCATCCCCCAAACACCCCGGGTTTTCCCTTCTTCTTACCAAGCTCTTCACAGGAAGCTGGCTGTGGCTGGTTTCTGATTAACCTCTAGTGGCCTCCATTGAAGAAACAGACCCAAGTCTCCAGACAGTATTTGACTGACATCTTAAACTCCAAGTCTCTCCTCCTTGTCACTTAGGAATGGTCCAAGAAGAGCCCTCCTCACGAGCTTACTCCCACTACGGTGGCCTTAACCACTCCTGCAGCACCCTCTTTGCTTTTCCTCCTAGGATCCCTGGGAGCCAACTCTGCGGAAGGCGAGGTTCGTGCTGACCTGCCTGCCCTTCCCGAATCCCCGTGCTGGGCCTGCTGCGTGGGCCATGTTTGGGTTGGGGTTTGGGTTTGGGTTTGAGCTGACTGAGCCACAGAAGTAAACAGACCCCAATGTACACCGACTTCGTGCCGGTATAACTGTATTGTTAGACTACACTGCATTCTAGGATGGATGTTCAAGGCCAGGAGGTGGCTTTTTATCACTTCTACTTGCAAGAGAGGCTGAGAAATATTACCTAACTCCCACCACAGGCCCGGTGCCTCTTTCTCATGATTCCAATCTCTCTTAGCTTCCCACTTGCCCCATTTGTTAACCTTGCAATGTAAAGTATTGAGAATTTTATAACTCTGGAACTAACACAATCAAGAAATAGCCACCCCCGGCTTCTAAAGAGCAGATAATAGAATCTGCTCACCAAGAAGTAATCATTGCTGTCTTAGCAACACTTACCACATCCTTGCACTGGTTTGCATTAGCATTCTTGGAGTTTTTATTCTGTTTGCTTTAAAATTTATCATACATGCTGTTATTCATTACATGCAGCCTTCACTGATATATACCAGCTATGGGGGAAATAAAAACCAAACAACTTCCCCGAGCGTAAATATGTCTCAGAGCTTCCAGCTCGGAATCAGTCCTGTAATATTAATCTTTAGATGACTTATTTGGATTCCATGCAGATACATTTGCCTTAATCACATTGTTCATGGGAAACAGGGCTATACTTGGGGTTAGAGCCGTGGATGTGACAGTCCTGCGGCCTTCCATGCCACCTGTGAGAGGTTGGTCCCATCTATCTGTCAAGGAACAAGAGAAGTGAGGTTGACTTAGGGCAGTGCTGGGTATTTATATTTAAGGGCATTTTGGACTTTGTGAAGGGGAAGAAGAAAAGACAAGAAGGCATCAAGGGTAACATTTTCCAAAACTGTGGTGGTCCTTGGAGGTAGCTGTCTGTCTTGTGGTAATGGATCTCCCAAGTTTTTGTCACCTCAGATTCTCTTTTCTGATCATTCTTAGAACCTCCACTCATTTTTCTTCTCATGCTTTGCTTTGACCCTTAGAGAAATCATCCTACCTTGTGACTCCTTGTCATACTTTTATATCCAAGTCTCTCAAATCCATATCTCAGATTTTCCCTGCAAGCTAGAGATAAGCAAAAGCAACCAGAGACCTCCACAGAGATGATCAACCATAGCATCAGACTGTCGGGATGAAACCTGACCATCACACCAGGCTTGGAGCCATTTCTGTAAGGACATCACCACACTTGAAAAGATGTTGTAGCCGGACCGTACCTTGCTATGGGGTGCACTCATGAACTGGTGACCCTGACCCAGCACATAGGAGACATCTGTTATTCTCGCCCTTTCACTGCTGCTCACAGAGTCACCAATGTCTGTGTGTTCTCTCACCCTGCTGCTTGCATTCATTTCTTCCTCCTCGTGGCCATTCCCCACACTGCATCCCAGGCCACGCTAATGTTATCCTTGACCCCGTGCTCCATGCTCCAACTTATTTACGCACCATCTTCTGCACAAGTTTAATTTCCTCGTACGCACCCCAGGATTTCTAGAGAAATGATCCTAGGAAAAAGATGACAGATTTCTGGCTGAGGTACTTTGGAGACTTAGCAATGAGGACTACTGAAGAAGTGGAAAATTCCAGAAAGCATTGGCCCCGCAGCTATGGCAACAACCATACTGAAGGCCTGTAGGGAGAAGGGCTGAGGCCATACCTGTATCAGTTATGGTGGTCACAGTGGTCTTGTAAACTCAGCCTTAACTGAGACTGGTGTCACCATTTCAGAGCATGCTATTGGTGGGGAGGCATGTGACAATGGGAGCCCCTGGGTAGCGGAGATGCTCAGTTAGACAGAGGTAGCACAGTGAGGTGGGCAGGTATTGCCAGTGGAGCTCCCTTCCCCTTGGGGATTGTTCAGCCTCTTCAGTGTAGCAAAGCCCTCCCTCCATAAGTTACCACATCCATTCTATTTCCTAGTATGAACCTGGTGTTCCAGTCAACACTGGGATCTTCACACATAGTCATCTGTCCTGTGTGGTTTCACAGCTAGTCCTCACCCTGCTGGAGGGACAGTATGACACCCCTTTCTTGTTTTAGGCTTTAGAGCTATTTGCTGCTGTAGCTCCTACAAGCCTCCAGCTTGCAGTCTCTCTGTCTTTATCCTCTGGGAAATGAACTTCAGCTTTGGCTTTCCCTATTGGGAGTTCACTTTAACCCTGAAACCAGGCCCAGCAGCAGGGACCTGGACCTCTGCCCACTCTGACCAACCTCTTACATCGAGCAGAGTTATGTGCATGGCAACAGAATGTTGGTCTTCCAGTAAGACGGCACCCCTAGTCTGATGCTGCCCACTGAAAAGCCAGATGGTAAGCATCTCACCCAAGAATCCTCTTCACATTCCTTCTAGGTCTCCATCCCATGCTGAATCTATCCAGGTTGGGGCCTGTGTTCTGCAGTTAACCACTGCCTGACCTCTGCATATGCTGATACCCACCCTTCACTTACTTAGGGCTTAGGATTTTGCTGACACTCCGGTGTGTGGCTTTTGTAAGTCTTCCATTTCCAGGTTCTCTCCGCCTTGAAGGTGCCCTGCCTGGACCTTTGCTCCTATTCCCTGTGAGAAGCTCTCCTGTTCCCTCTTCCCCCACACTGGACCTTCAAGGCTACCAATGCCCGGAATACTTCAGGCATGCTGGGACAAGGGCACTTGACAGTTCTTCCTGGTATAGGATGGTTGGGCTGGGGTTACTATTACCGGGCTCAGGCTGGTGGACAAAAATGAGATTTTCTACAGCATAACTCTACTAGGATTTGAAGGGAGTGGCCACTCACAGTGTAGGGGAACAAACTGCCCTTCCTGAGTAGTTAACAGAAGCTTTAGTCATGGAGGGATGTAGGGGCACATCCAAGTCGGGGAGCATAGAAACACCAGGTAAATATACTCTTTGACTGTGGCCAAAAAACCCTCAACACTTCCTTTGCTCTTTGCATATGACATGGCCTTGGATATTTGAGTAAACCTTACACACTAGATGCCTTTAGAGGTGACAATCTCTCCACCACCCACACCAGACCTACCAGTGTTGCTGGTTCAAATGCAGATTTCTGATCTCCCAGGAATCTAACCAGAAGCCCACTGAAGATTTTCTACCCTGAGGGTCTTGCAGCAAACTTTTGATCCTGAGTATTCCTGGCTTAAAAGCAGAGACCTTCCCGTGGTTCTAAGATAAGGAAAAAAAAAAAAAAAAAGCAGAGACCTGCTGGTCCAGGCCAAGATTCACCCCTAGCAAGTGCCCTACACCATTTTGGTTAGTGGGCACTTGCTAAACATCTGCTGAACTGAAGTAGTACCCTTGAGGCCAGAGCATTTTGTTTTGGTTGTTTTTTTCCCTTGGAGCCACCCCTGATTCTCAGTGCATAATCTATTTCTGACAGACGGGTGAGGTCACAGAGCAAGGCCACATCTGCAAAAGGAGAAGGAAGAAGATTTAGCCAACGCCCAGTCTCTCAGTCAGTCTCCAAGGCAGTGGAAAGTTTTCCCAGCTCGCAGATCCTCTGCTGGGCTGAGCCACCCTGGAATTGAGGAAGTCAGGCTGGGTGCAGTCAGGTGCTAGGAAGAGCTGCTGTTTATAAGCAAGTGGAGTCCTAACTCTAACCCTAACCCTTGAGTGCCTTGGTCTTGGTTGGGCAGAAACTGTATGTAGTTTGGGATTTTGTTCTTGGGATAAGAGATCATGTTGTTGTAGTTGGTGTGTTGCCAAGGGGCTGCCGAGTTCCCAGGGGCTCTGCCCTTCATAGGTGTCATGGAGAAACGTTGTCTCATATCAAAGATCACAGTTATGTCTCAATAAACAAACACCACTATTGGCTGTTCTCTGGAGGCCAGCTTGGCAGGACCCTGTGCAGCTCCTGACTAGCTTGTGTCCCCAGGGGCCTCCCTGCTTCCAGTGCCAATGAGAGGCCAGGGCTGGGTTGGCCTCTTCCCTTTCCTCAAGGTGAGGTGTGCAGCCAACCAGAGACATGCTGGGAACCACTGACCTTGCTTCTCAGAACTCCTGGATTCTTCGTTTCCTAATAGGTTCCATTGGGTTAGAGCTCTCTCGGCTAATGGGACAGTAGAGACATAAACATGGCCAAGATAAAATTCAATCCCCTGGGTGAGATTTTATCATGAGTCAGAGTCCAATTAGCAATCAGTCAATGACAACAACCAACAAGGAAAGGGCATCTGCTGTAACTGGAAAATGCATGTAATACACATGGAATGAGGGAGAATGCCTGGCTTGTGAGGATTCACGATGCTTGAGACAAGCAGATCACTTTTATGTGACTTAATCCACGGGTATTTACAAAGCATGCACTACAGCTGGGCGCTGTTCTGGGCACAAGAAATGTCTATTTTAGAAAGCCCCTGGGCTGCTAGGATTTACATTTTGGAGAACTAGAGCAAGCTCTCTGGAAACAGAGCCTCAAAAAGGGCCTCAAAACCAAGTACATCTTCCTAAAAGGCTAAGACAGTTCCTGAAGGAACAGATCCTGGGTCTTACTTTGAATGCTAGATCTCTAGTGTTTCAGTATCTTAAATGCTTACAGAAGAGAAATCTACTTATCTTAGAGTTCTTAGTTGCAAGCAACAGAAACAAACTCTGGATGATTTGAGAAGAAATGAAACTTACAACTATAGCAGGAAACCTAGCAGGGAGCAGGCTCAGGAAACGGCAGAAATCATGACTGGCTGGAGATCGGGAAGCACCTCCAGTAACTCCAAGAGGACAAGCTGATGAAGACACCAGTGTCACCACAGCAGGATCAGGATTCCAGGGCTTGCATCATCCACACTCCTGGCACTGGACAGCTTATGCCGTGGCCCTGGTCTCTGTCCTGAGTGCCACTGAAACTTGGAAGCTTCTCCACTTTCATGTTTCTTTGCATCATCAGCTTTAAGACTCTAAATCAGGGCAGAAGTCTTGGGTCATGTGCCTACTTCTTAGCTGCAAAGGAGGCTGGAAAACAGGGTTCCTAGAAGTTACTGTTTCATGAGGGAAGCAGATGCCTATAAATAGGGTGGGGAATTCCTCAGATGTAGGAAAGAATTCTGAAGCAGGACAGGCAAAATAAATGGCAGATTTTCACTTCACCATCTATCTTTTGTATGGGGTCAGGAAGTACACATGTGAAAAAGCAACTATTTCTTTCTTTTTTTAAGGAACTTTAGAGAATTGCATTTATACAGGTTACCAAAGCAGAAGAATGGGAGTTTGGGAGGTCTTAGTGAAAAGAGGGCAAGCGTTGAGGCGTGTGGCAGATTAGGACTGGGAACATGGGTCAGGTACAAGCCAGGCCAAGAGAACCTGCAGAGATAGGGGTTAGCTTGACGTGGTACGAAACGTAAAAACAGCTACTGTGCTAACCTCAATTCCAGCGTCCTATCTCTTCAGCATTTCCCAGAAGTCCTACTTGTTAATTGTTACTAACTGAGAGTAGCATCTCCCTTATTTCTTTGAGCCAATAAATGAAGAGTTTTGACAAGCAGACCTTGCTACATCTGGAATAACAAAGACTCAAAACTTAAGATCAAATTGGTAAAGAGAGATTGCAAAAAATGAAAATCTTAATTGCTTTCATTTGTACACAGTATCTTTCACAGTGCTCCTTGGATATAAAAACAACTACTGCCTCTAAGACCAACGGTTTCCAGTATGGATGGTCACCAAGGATCACAGTGAGTTTTAGAAACATCCTCCCCAAGTTCATCCCAGAAATACTGGACTTCTAAGAGGAGAGCCGCTAGAATGAGCGTTGTTTTATCTCCATGATCCACCAGAATGTTCCGTATGGCCTGGACACTGCAATGCACCTCGATTTCCCTCTCCCCCAGGTATTTCTCTGGTTGTCTAAGGGAATCCTCAGCCTCCCTTTTCACTTTTCTTTCCAAGTAGCCCTATTCTTTACTCTTTTCCCAACATTTTACTATGACAAATTGCAAGCACACATAAAAATTCAAAGACTTGTACAGCAGTCACTCATGTGCTCCCTCCCTAGATGCTACATTCGCTAACATTTTGCTGTTCTGTCCCATCTCATGTCTTTCCAAACATCTTTCCATCTTATTTCCTGATACATTCTTAAGTAAATCACAGATCTTTCCTGTGAACATTTCATCCTTCATGTGTAAACACTTTAGCCTGCGTATCGTTAATTAAAGTTCAGTATTTGTGGACAGTCCTTTAAAAAAACACTAAAAACACAAAAGCCAACATTCACAACTCATGCGTGCACTGTTTTACCTATTGGGACAAATGTGCATACCTAAATAATCCAAACCCTCAGCAACACAGAGAATATTCCCTTTAGTTCCATGGCTTTTGCTGATCAATCTCTACCCTACTCTCAGAACATCTTTTTTTTTGAGATCTCCCTAAGTTTCTGAACTGCCCAGCCTAGACTTGAACTTGATATCTTTCTACCTCAGTGATTTTGTTTTACATTTTAGACTAGTTGTCCTTATTCTATGAGAAAGTACAGTAAAGTTCTCAACATGGTACTTTAAAGATTTATTCTTTTGGTTGTGTGTGTTGGTAGTTAATTCCTCTTTCTTGATGGTTTTATTCCATTTGTATGAGTAGACCATAGTTTGTTCACCCATTCTTTTGCTGCTGGGCACTTGGACTAGTCCTTGTGTTTTCAGTATTATAAATAAGGTGCTATAAATATTCTCATTTTAGGATTGTGCAGCTATATCTTTTCATTTCTCCTAGGTAAATACTTAGGAGTACAATAGCCAAGTTAGTAGTCTAGACATATCTAGTTGTATGGAAACTGTCAGATCTTAGTTTCCAAAGTTGTTAAACTAGCAGTGTGTGAGTTACGATTGTTTGACATCCTTACAGCATTTATTTTCAGTCTTCTTCATTTTAGTTGTTCTGGTGAATATGTAGTAGCAGCTCACTGCAGTGTTAATTAATATTTCTCTGATGATTAATGATGTTGGTTGCTCTTTCATATGCTAATTGGTCAATAGTACAACTTCCTCTGTGATGTATTCACATCTTTTGCTTCTGTTTAACGGAGTTGTCTTTGTGCTTTTGGGACATAACTTTCTAATATTTAGTTAAAGATTTTTGCATCCATGTTCATGAAGAATACTGGGGTGTCATCGACTTTCATGGTAATAACCTCCTTCGGTTTTCACATCAAGACTATGATAATGAGTTTGGAAATATTCTCTCTTCCTCTATTTTGCACAAAATAGTCTTGCCTCTATAAAATAATTTGAAATATATCTTTTTCTACTGTTTTACTTACAACCCACCTCTGACTTTATATTTATAGTCTGCTTGTAGACAGGATAAAAAAAGTGGGATTTGCTTTTTTCCCCCACACTAACAATTCTTGACTTTTTAAATGGAATGTTTTAGTCTGTTTACATTTAATTTTTCTTGACATATGATCTTACTGTGTAATGCAGACTGGCCTGGGGAACTCAGTATGTAGCCTAGTCTGGCCTCAAACTCATGGCAATCTTCCTGCCTCAGGTTCCCAAATGCTGGGATTATAGGTGTGAGCCACCAGGCCCAGCCCACATTGAAGGTAATTATTGATATGTTTACTTGCTATTTTTAGTTTGTCCAACAGAGCCTTTTCCTTCTGTCCCTCCCCACTGCCTTTTTTGGAGTTAATTGATGTTTTTCCAGTTACTTTTAATTTATCTACTGGCTTTGTGCCAGACAGAAGACGCCAAAACTATAAATAGAAATCAGAAATTGTGGCTTCTTGGATTCTTGTTCTTTGCTAATTTACTCTCTTGTAATCTCTTTCCTTGACCACCTGTCACCCTTACTCTTTCAGTGCCAAAAGGTTTGTTATGAGTTCCGCCCACTGGACTCAGAGGCCTCCAGATATCTTGTTAAATACAGACATCCTGCTCAGATGCTGTCCTTCGAGTTACTGTATTTGAAAGGGTACCACCTTACTGTTACCAACGCAAAAAAGTTTATTTTCTCAAAGTCTTTTCTCCTTTCCCTGTAGTTCGACCTGGACTTCTAACCGACTTCTAAGTGATTTAGTTTATTATTAAATACGTCTTTTAAACATTGCCTAAACCTCGGCCCATAGAACTGGGGGCGGCAGGGGTGAGACGGGGATGCTGGATTCTCCAGCCTTTAGGCCAGCAGAATGCTAACTTGGGCCCTACACACTCTCTTTCTGCGCCACCTCCTGACCATGACCAGCCCGCAGAAGTCTGTAGTCACAGGAGGGGGTGTCTCTTTGAAAAATCCCTGCTTCTTGATGAGACTGTGAAAGAAGCATGATTTCAGAAAGGATACACTTTAATCAGGATTATGAATCTGGCTTGAAGGCTGAATAGAACCCTCCAATTTTTTGTTTTTGTTTTTTGTTTGTTTGTTTTTGTCTTTTTGAGACAGGGTCTCACTATGCAGTTCAGGCTGGCCTTGAGCTCACTTTGTGGCCCAGGCTGGTCTCGAACTTGCAATGATCCTCCTGCCTCAGCCTCCCAAGGGCTGGGATTACAGGCCTGTGCCACCACACCCAGCTTCCTCTGATGTATTTTGTAAAAGGGTTGGTAAAAAACCATGGTGAATGTTTAAATGAAAAGAACTTAATACCATAAAAGACACATTGCCAGGAACAGTAGGACGAACATGTTCAAAGTAATTTTTAGTATGGGGGGTGTGGGTAATGGCAAAGTCTTTTACCGTAATAAAATTTTAAATTTAAATATTCACCAACTTTTTTGCCACCTGGTAAACATTCAAATTCAAATATTTCGGGCAGTGTCTGTGGTTCTGAC